AACGGAGGACGGCGGTGTGCGGAGCAGGTCTGCTGCTGCTCGGGGGCACGGCGGCCTACAGCAGAACCAGGGAAGGAGCTAACTACTTTGCACCCCGCTTCACTGCGGGGCTCCCTCGACTGCCTTCTGACCGGTGACATTAAGGACAAGCCTAGGCTTTCTTTGGAGACGATGCAACAGAGCACGGTTGTCGCGCTTTGCTCCAAAGATGCTACAGAGAAGCGCGAGGTGGTTTCCCCCTCAAGGCTTGTAGGAACCTGTGGGCATTAGGCAGTTACTTGACAAGTTGGAGGATAACGTAGAGAAGTCACCGGGCGGCGACTGGGGGTGGCCAAGTGAAGGGCCAAGCGCAAGGCGAGCTGTACCGGCTTCCCAGGGGGGACCCTCTAGGACAGCTCCGGCTGCATCAGAACACAACGTGAGTTCTCGAAGGCCGGTGGGCACGTACAGAGGCCCCCGTTCACGTCTGTGTTGTTTAAGGAATGACCCCCTGCGCCTTACCGTGCAGCAGCACCACCCGGTTCCAGGCGATGAGGTTGCTGTCGACGTTCTTGTCTGAGAACAGCAGGGTCGTCGTCACGTAATCCAGGAGCTGCGAGAAGACAGGCGGATGCAGTCACCGGTGCTGATGGGGCAGCGGCCCCCCGCGGAGACGCTGCTGGAGCTCGTGCCCGAGGAGGAGCATTGGCCCCTCAGAAGCTGCCCTCAGCAGTTGACGGACGCCTAAGAAACTCACAGTGTGAGGACAGGCTGGCCGCTACTACCGTTTAACCAAAAATAAAGGGCGACACGAGGGCCTCTCCCTAAAAGTATCAGGATCATACAAAAGGACGAGACTTGGCATGTGCTAAGTGTCTCGTGCCTCGGGGACAGCACAGCGGGGGGCAAGTGGCAGCACTGGGGCCCCGGACAGCGGCCACGACTGTTCTCGCAGCCTGGGGGGCTGCAGGGTGGGCCTCCAGGGTCCCCCGCAGCACGCAGGACCCTTCCCCTCGAAGAGGGTTCCGACGAGCTGGCGCTTGCTCAGACATGTCCGCCTGCTCCATCTGCCCCCCGGCCCTGCCTCTCCAGGCCTGATGGGTTCCTAAGAGCACAGTCCAATCACACTTGTCTCACACCGGGCACCTTTCTCCCCCCAGGGACCAGCTCTGCTGGGGAGCAACCCTAGAGGACTGGTATGCAGGACACGGGCTGCTGCTGGCCCGAGTTCCCAAAGCCTATTTGAGTCCGAGGGCTCCGAGATGCTGGAGAAGACAGTACGGTGGGTCCCACCTCCAACAAGCGGCCCTCTTAGAAAATAGCACACACAACTTACATGAGATTTGACTTCCACATCATATACCAGGCTGTCCCAAAGCCCGTGGAATTCAGCTGGGAGAGAATAAAACAGAAACCTGATTTTAGGAAAACAGGCATTACACTGGCCCCGGAGGCCTGCTCTGAGCCACTGACACTGTCCACTGTTCCACACGTGGCCGGCTCAGACTCTCATTACAGTCAAGCTAAATTTTTAAATTTTTTCTTAATGTTGGAATTCTTCTAAATTTTTTTTAATTTATTTGACAGAGATCACAGGTCGGCAGAGAGGCAGGCAGAGAGAGAGGTGGAAGCAGGCTCCCCGCTGAGCAGAGAGCCCGATGCGGGGCTCGATCCCAGGACCCTGAGATCATGACCTGAGCCGAAGGCAGAGGCTTAACCCACTGAGCCACCCAGGCGTCCTGGATTTGAGTTTTTAAAATTAAAGATGCTGAGTAATTGCCAGTCACGTAACTTTCGACAGATAATTAAATGAGGTACAGAGACAGTTTCTTGTCACGCTACCACGTAATTACCTTTTGTGGACCCACGCTTCTGCCACGAGCACAGACCCAGACCCACCACTCACCCCGCCGGCCAGCACTTGGGCAGGGCAGCGAAAGGTCTAGACCAGCTGTCAGGACCTCAGACGCAGCCCCAAGGACTGGCTTCACCCCAGGACTCTGCCTGCTAGAACATGGCCAAGTCCTTGGAGAAGCAAAGAAAAGGCAGGAGGAAGGAGTGGCCCAGCTGGTGATCCGCGGGGCAGGAAAGAACACTTTCTTCTTTTTCTCAGTTAGCACCATCTTAGAGGGCCCTGCCTGAAGGAACGCAGTCTTACAGCGGGGATCTCCACGTCCCTCTTCTGCGACCCGCTTTCCACCTCACAGGAAACGAGACATGCTGAAAGCCTCCAGACAGATGGACCAACACAAAGTCCTCAGCTAACGGACGTGGAGAGCCCGGGCCGCATGCCCACGTCTGCCCTTGTGTGTCGGGTGTGGCCCGCCCGCCCTCGCGGTCACACACCTGCAGGCAGGACCCAGTGGCTTGCCGCAGTGATGTTCTCCGTCTCCTCCTCCAGAGTCTCACTGCTGGGGCCGCCCTCGTTCAGCTGGAAGACGTGCAGCGCGACTGCGCAGGCGCACAGATCGATGGGCTGCGGCGAGAAGGGACACCAAATAGATCCCCACAAACTGCAAACAACTCGCCCTGACTCGAGCCATCAAAGTTAGACGGTAACATCCAAAAACAACGATCAAACACGCACGTCAGAAACCAGTTCCTAGACCAGGTACAAAAATCTATGGTGCTCAGGTTTAGGGTCAGCACTTTCTCAAACACCCCCCTCTCTACCCGAGAAAGGACTTTCTTATGTGTAATCACGGGAGTCACATGCTTGTTGGAAAATACAAAAAACACAGAACGAAGAACGCCAAAGCCCCCACGTCCGACCTCACCCACGTTTTGGTCGAGGACGTGCCACCCGTATCGGCCCGCAGAGGTCTCTGAGCGCGGCGTCCCGTCAGCAGGGCTCGGAAACGTTTTCCGCTCGCAGACAGGGACCTCGCACGCGCTTTCCCACAGCCCTGCCGCACGGGGCGGACGGAGCGGACGGAGCGCTCCCGTAGCCAGAGCCTGACCGACGGATGACTGACGTATCCCAAACCACCAGCTAGTAACGACGCACGTAAACCACCACTCACGTAACTTCATAAAGTTACAGAATTGCGCTTAGCATTCTCCCAGGGGAACCTGCAGAGTCCCAGTGGAGAGCGTTAAGATGTCTGATGGTTCTGGTTAACCCGTGCTGCCTCCGTCTGCGGAAAGCTCTTGTGCTCCCTTCAGGCTGGCCAAAACCAGGTGGGACCGACAAAGCGGACCAGGCCACCAGCGCTAGTCCCCGCGTATGAATGGAGGGGCCACCCCGCACGCACAATTTCAGTGCCGGAGCAATTCTTCCAGACGGGCTCTTTATGAGACACGAACCACGGAGACGCCGGTGATGCATGTCCCGAGACAGACACTGGGGTTGTTCTCAAAGGGACAGAAACACCCCGACGAACCCACCCTGTCACACAGAGCTGGTGGCGAGGCAGTCCACAGGGTGGGCCAGAGGAGGACCCCCAGAAGGAAAGCCCCTCTCTGCAGCCGCACCCCCTGCCTCTATGGCCCTCCGCTCCCGGAGCACGCCAGACAGTCGCCGACCTCAAGAGCGGGGAGCGGGCAGGGGCCTCTCAGCAGCAGAGCCCACCACCCCACTGCCTGCAGCCGGCCTCTGCTTCCCTCCGTCCCCCAACTGCCGCAGGCGTCCTGACGCGGGCGCGTCTACTCGCAGCCCCTGGCCTTTCCTAGAGCCGCTGCCCGTCTGACAAGCCGACAGGCAAGCCGGCCCGTTTCCGACCACAGACCGGCAGAGCAGCGGGCACACGTCCAAGATGCGTCTTCGCTTCCGCGCGTTCTCGGAGGTAAAGTCTGCTCCCGACGTGCGGCGCGAACACACCCAGGAACCCGAGATCAAGACCGCGCAGGCCACGGACAGAGCCAGCCAGGAGCCCTCCGCTCGGTGGACCAGTACCTGTGGGTCTTTCGCCTTCAACTCCGTGTCAACGATCGCCACGGACTGCACGTTCCTGGTCAGAAAAGGCTCGTCGAACTCGGTCCACGTGTAGTCTCCAAACACGATGTTATGTCTGTTGAGCAGCTTCCGGACGCTCTGCTTTATGTCTTCCTTCTTCGCGGTGCTGGGACAGCGGACGGGAAGACCAATGCTCAGCTGGGCGCGGGACTGCAGCCCGAGCTGCTCGAGTCGCGCTGCCCCGAGACCGCGCCGCAGCAATGGCGCCCGCTCCGCCAGCTGACCAGAAGGTGGGTCAGCTCTCCCAGTGCCCGGGACCAGGCCTGGAGGCTGAGTCAGCACCCACGGTGCCGGGACCCGGTGGGGACATGGGGACAGCAGACGGACACTCAGGACCGGAAATGGACTGGGGACCGGGCGGGGACGGTGGGCCGGCACCCGGACTCTGACGACCCTGAGCGGAAGGACAACCCCCCCCCCCCACACACAGAGCCCGGGAGGTCCTGGCGCAGGAGTCCGAGGCCTGGGACGCTCCTAGGGAAACCCTGAGGCTCTCAGGGCGGCACGGAGACTTCCAGGACCCTCGCTGGCCCTGGGACCCCGGCTCCCTCCTCCCTGCGACCCTCGGCGACCCGGACCGTGCCCCAGAGGCAGGCAGCTCCGGGAGGGTCTCCCCCCGCGGCTCCCGTCGGGCGTGGCGAGCCGCCGCGGCCACCGGCCCCCGCCCCGGCGCTCACCTGCCGCCGCGCTGGTGCACCTCCACGTGCACGGTCGGCGCCTCGGCCACGCACGGCAGCGCCTGCTTCAGGTCGCCCACGGCCTCGTCCATGGCGCCGCCGCCGCCGGGAGCCGCGGGAACCCGGCCGGAGCGTGGCCGCCGCCGCCTCCTCGCGCCCCGCGCCGCCGCCGCTGCCGCCGCCCCTGCCTCCGCCCGGGCCGACCCCGCCTTCCGCTCCCGCTCGCCCGCCCGCGCTCGAAAGTGCCGCGCTCCGCCCCCTGACCCGGAAGCGCTGCGCGCCGGCGCGGCGGGGTGAGGCGACTTCCGGCCGGGGCGACTTCCGGCCGCGGCTCCTGCTTCCGGCGCGGTGCGGCGACCTCCGCCGGGCAAGGCGGGCGGCGAGCCAGGGCCGCGGGGGCGGCGGCCACGCTCCTGTCCGGCCCGCTGCTGCCCTCGGCCCCGCGCCCCGGCCCCGGCCTCGCGCCGCCATGGGCAAGAAGCACAAGAAGCACAAGACCGAGTGGCGCTCGTCCTACGAGGGTGAGGCGGCGGGCGCGTTTTGTGACGCCGGCCGGCAGGCGGGGGCCCGGGGGAGGGTCGGGGGCTTGCGGGGGGTCGGGGGGGGGGCCCGGGGTTTGGGGGGGGGGGGGGGTGTCCCGGGCACCAGGGTCCCGAGATCCGCGGCTGGGGCCCCGGGCAGGGGTGCAGGGCTCCGCGGCGTCCGCTGTGTCTTGTGTCCGGAAGGAAGGAGCTGAGCAGCTCCGCGGCTTGTCGGGACTTGGAGGGTTCGTTAGTGGCCTCTCTGCGCGCCTGCTGCCCGCGCGCCCCTGCAGCCGCGGGCTCATGGGGGGGACGCCTGCGGCTGCTGCAGGGTGAGCCCACCGGCAGCTTAGGGATGGGGCATCGGGCTCCTGGGTCCCGGTCCCGCTTTGGTCCTTCCCGCTGCTTTCCTCTAGGCCTCCCTGAGGCCGATGCCGCGTGGAGCGGGGAGAGCACTTAGGCCTGCCGGATTGTCCTCCCGTCCTCTCTCCTGGACGGTTCGGCCCTCCCGCTGCCTGCTGCCTTAGCCCGGCCAGTCCCTCCACCTCCCGGGGCCTGGACGTTCTCCTGGTCACACCTGCGTGGGGTCACACCCGCGTGGGGGGCCGGCCCTGCCGCCATCGCCAGCTCGGGGGAGGTAGCGGGGGCGTGTGCAGCCCGAGCACGCAGGGACGTCTCTGTCGGCAGATTACACAGACAAGCCCCTGGAGAAGCCCCTGAAGCTGGTCCTCAAGGTCGGAGGAAGTGAAGTGACCGAGCTCTCGGGGTCTGGGCACGACTCCAGTTACTACGACGACAGGTCAGACCACGAGCGCGAGCGGCACAGAGAAAAGAAGAAGAAGAAGAAGAAGAAAGCGGAGAAGGAGAAGCACCTCGATGACGAAGAGAGAAGGAAGAGGAAGGTGGGGGGGGTCGTGGGCTCGTGCCGGCCCCAGGCCCTGCAGGGCAGGTGGCAAGTGCTGCGGGCGCGGGAGGGGCTTCTGTTGGCGGCGGGAGGCAGACCCAGAAGGTCCTGTGCTTTGTTTCCCGTTCTCTGGGCCTCGGCTCTGGCCTGAGCCCTGGGGGTGGCCGCTGAAGCGGGAGCCTGCGGTGAGAAGTGCGCCTCATCAGTTGCGGGGGACGCGTCTCCAGCTGCTCACGTGGCTCTCGCCCCGACCCTGCCTCACAGGAGGAGAAGAAGCGGAAGCGGGAGAAGGAGCACGGGGACACGGAGGGCGAGGCCGATGACTTTGATCCGGGGAAGAAGGTGGAGGTGGAGCCGCCCCCTGACCGGCCCGTGCGCGCCTGCCGCACCCAGGCGGGTGAGTGTGGCGCTGGGGAGGCTTTCCCGAGCCTCCGCTTACCTCCGTGCCGCGGGGCTGGTGCAGGCCTGCGGTCTCTGGGGAGGAGCACGGGGAGGACCATGGGGAGGAGGGGGTGCTGTGTCTTCAGCGTGAAGCGGTGTGGGGCCTGAGTTCTTGCTGTCCCCTTCGGGCTCCTGGAGCAGGGCCGGGCCGGCTCCAGCTCCCGCTCCCCGTGGCGCTCCTCTTTAAACTCCTGAGCTCAGTGTGGAGGGGAGGACAGTGGAGCTCAGGGGGCGTCAGCGGTCGCGAGGGCTGCGGCAGCTCCAGCAAAGGAAGGGGTCCGAGATGCTTGGGACCCTGTGGTCTGTGCGGTCACTTCTCTGGGGCTCCCACACAGGAGGTGCCGACGGGAGGTAGTTTCTGAGGCGTTTCTTTCCTCGACTTCGGGGTTGACTGCTGAGCATTGGGGGGGCGTGTGCTGCAGTCGTTGTGGGGGCTGCTGCGTTCTGGTAGGCCCCGTCCCCTGTGCAGGTCATCGCCGTGGTGGACTCGGGGCCTCTAGGCATGGTGGGGCACAGAGAAGGTCAGGCGTGAAACCGTTCGCTGGATGAACGCGTCTGCGGGGTGTGGACAGTCGCTGGCCCCCGTGAGCTTAGTCTGAGTGACCCCTCGTTTGAGGTCACGTGCAGTGCTTCCCTCCCGCGTGTCTGAACAGCGGATGTTCACGTCTGTCCTGGTCACTGTTGCCGTCGAGGACCCACTTGAGGTCTGCACTTCTGTGCTTCAGGCCTGGGACCAGCCGTCTCCCCACGGAGCCCTGGTTCCTTCGAGCACCCAGGCTGTCAGGGGCTGGGTGTGGCCCTCGGTGGGTGGCAGGCAGGAAGGTCCCACGCGTAGCCGCAGCCGAGAGAACAAAACCTACGCAGGCATCCGGGTTCACTGCATTCACCGGAATCTGCGTTTTCACTCGGCGGGCGCAGCGGCGCGGTTAGCACCCACGCTCCCGGAAACCCCAGGGCCGTGTGTGCTGCCGTGCCTGGTTCACAGGTGAGCAGCCGGCGTGACCAGAGCGTTAGGAGGCTCCAGAGGATAATGGGTGAAGCTCCTCCTGTGTCCCAAGCCTTAGTTATCGTCTGCAACGTGCCGGGCCCGGCGGTGACCTGGATGGTCCAGGCCGATGAGCGGTCATCCCCTGTTGACGTGCTGAGGGTGCCGGTGCTCCGAGGGGTTTCTGGGACGGATGCTGACGAGGAGGTCCTTTCCCACCCCGCTGGGCTTCCTGGGGCCAGGCCTGGGTCTGGCCGACCCTTGTTCCCTGTTCTTGTTGGAACTTGAAACACCGTGAGATGTGGAGCCGCTGGAGACACACCGTGGGGGTGGCGCTCTCCAGTGACGGGACGCGGCAGTCTCCCGACTCGTCTCTCTATTTCTGTGTCGCCAGCGGAGCACGAGAGCACGCCTATCCAGCAGCTGCTGGAGCACTTCCTGCGCCAGCTCCAGAGGTAAAGCGTCGCTCGAGGCCGTCTTCCCCTGAGCCGTGCTGCTGCCCCCGCGGCTGTGAAGCGGACACTCGCCCAGTGTGGGGGGCGGGCAGGCATGCGCGGGAGGTGCGCAGGGAGAGCCCTGGCGGCCGGTCAGCGCGGGCGGGTCAAGGCTGCCACGATACGGGTGTCCTAGCTGCAGGCCAGACGGCGGCTGGGAGTGGTCAGTTCTCCAAAATTCCGCAGCTCTAGGGCGCGTAGGTTTTGCTTTTATCTTTAAGATGGCGGGTTAAAACCCGGAGAGGTGTGGGACGTCTGCTGTGCGGGGTTTCGTATTCTTTGGAAGTCGAGATTTATGGCTTTCGCAATTTGAACGAAGCTGTTTGTGTTTTCAGGAAAGATCCTCACGGATTTTTTGCTTTTCCGGTCACGGATGCGATTGCGCCTGGTTACTCCATGATAATAAAACACCCCATGGATTTCGGCACGATGAAGGACAAGATTGTGGCCAACGAGTACAAGTCGGTCACAGAATTTAAGGTAAGTGGTCTCAGTTCCCGAAACCGCTGCGGTGAGGCTGTGCGCGCCGACGCCCGGTAAACTCCGTCCGCCTTCGGTCGGAGGTTCTGCGGGCGCCGGTGCATTTGGGCTGAGGTCACCCGCGCGGCACTGGGGGAATGGGCTGGCTGAAGTGTCCTCTGTGTGTTTTCGGGAAGCCCGGCCGGATGCGGCCACGGGAACACGCTGGGTCAGGCCGGAGTGTGTCGGTTTGGTCTGGTTCAGATTGGGCATTTCTAGAAACACGGTTTCCTAGTTTTTAGTTTCATCTTGCAGCAGTTGGGAATTTAATTTGTTTTTGAGTAATAAATTCTTACGGCAGCTGAGTACGTAGTTCTTAAGTCTGTTTCTTGCTACCACCTCTGACGTAGAAACGCGTCTTGGCTTTGAAGCGCGGAGGGGTGGTTAACGTGAGCGCTCGACCGCTTTGGCAGTCGTTATTGAGGAACAGGCGTCAGGTTTCTGAGTTTTGGTTAAATTTGGAAGGCTTGGCTCTTTTACATTCACGTCTTGCTGTCGTGACAGGGTTTGGCGAGCTGTGGCAGCAGCCCACTCTCAAGGGTGTTGCGTGGGGTGCGTCTTCCTCCAGAGCGCCCGGTGCTGCCCCCAGGGCCGATGGCTCGTGGCAGCCCACAAGCCTTCCACTTCACTAGCTCGGGTCCCAGTTCGGTCTGCTGCCCACTGACCGTCCTGGATGTGAGCCGCGTCCCCCTCCCTCCCCTGTGTCCTCATGACTGGTACCTCGGGGCCAGCGAAGGACGGGGGCTTCACGGCCTCAGGCCCAGCCCTGGAGACCTTGGCGTGGGGCTGGTGCTAGGGCTCGGGAAGTGCCAGGACAGTTCGCACTGTATCGCCTGGCCCGACGGCGGATTCGTCTGTGACAGGTGCGTGCCGAGTGTAGTTTGGTGACAAAACCCTGAAGTTCCCAGACTTCACTTCTAGCGTCAGGTGTTCAGTAAGAGTCGCCTTGTTGGGGCGGAAGTGTTTGCTCGGGCGCCTCTGGAGCAGTTCCCGGAGGCAAGATGCTGGACTCCGCGCAGAACTCCCAGAGATGGAGGACACGACTGTGCTCGGGTCTCAGCTCGTCCCTTGGCCTTAACTGGAAGAACGCAGCTGTCAGTTCTCCTTCCCGTTTGCATCCGAGTTCCTCCCAAAGTGGGAGAGCGGGGGATGGGAGAGCAGGGGCCGCCCTGCCCTCGCGGCATGCGTGTGTCACGCTCAGGAGGATGCGGGGCTTGGCTCCTCGCTGTTTGCGGGGAAAGACTAGTGAACAATTAGGAACGTTTTTGAAGGTGTAGAAACCATTTGTCAAACCGAAGAGCCTAATCTAGTTGTTTCGCACTCATTTTTAGCCTCTTTTTTCTTTTCTTTTAAGATTTTACTTATTCACTTGACAGAGAGATCACAAGCAGGCAGAGAGGCAGGCAGAGAGAGAAGGAGAAGCAGGCTCCCCGCTGAGCAGAGAGCCCAATGCGGGGCTCGATCCCAGGACCCCGAGATCATGACCTGAGCCGAAGGCAGAGGCTTAACCCCCGAGCCCCCCAGGTGCCCTGCCCTCACTTTTAGCCTCTTGACAGGAATCCAGTTTATGTCTTGGTGGCGTTTCGAATTGGATGGATACGATTTTTTTTCCTCTTTCAGGCAGATTTTAAGCTGATGTGCGATAACGCCATGACCTACAACAGACCGGACACCGTGTACTACAAGTTAGCCAAGAAGATCCTTCACGCGGGCTTTAAGATGATGAGCAAAGTAAGAAGCCCTCGGAGGCGCGGAGCCACAGAAACGAGCGTTCTCCTCTGCGTTCCTATGCCTGAACAGAACCTCACCCCCAGTGAACGACCCGCTTCCATCCGTCCGTCCCTGGCCGCGGTGTGGACCCCTCTGCTCTAGCGTAGACGTCCCAGGCCACCCTCCCCTCCAGGCACTCCCCCTCTGCTCCTGCTCACGATCCAGCTGTAAGCTCTCCTGTAGGGTTGGTGGCAAGTTCTGGATCTGTCGACCTGAGCCTGGGCATCTTGTCCCACTGGATCGCAGCCGGCCCGTGATTTGTGTCACGTGGCCGCCCGCTGAATCCGGACGGGACGTTGCCGCCCGGCGTGGCTTCCCAGATCTGTCCCACCAGCCAGGTTGCATGCGTCCCGCGTCTAGGACCAGTGTCTTGTGCCTGATGAGCCTATGGGTGAGGCGCGGCCCCTGTGCCCTCAGGCCTGTGCCCTCGGCCGGCCTCAGGCGCTCCCGGCCAGCCGGCTGCACCTGTGGTGCGACCCCGCCCCCCACCCCCACAGTAGCGCGGCGGAGTCAGCTGTGAGGCCAGGTGAGGCTGCGGCCCCCCACCCCCGGCGTCCTCGCGCCCTGGCGGGCCGGGAGAGCTAAAGCCCTCCGCTCTGTCCTCTCTGGTTGCAGGAGCGGCTGCTAGCCTTGAAGCGCAGCATGCCGTTTGTGCAGGACGTGGATTTCTCTCAGCAGGCAGCTCTTCTGGGCAGTGAAGACCCCGCCGCCGAGGAGCCCGTTGCCGAGGTAGCGCCCGTGCAAGTAGAAACTGCCAGGAAATCCAAAAGGCCGAGCAGAGAGGTCATCAGGTGAAGAGCGGCGTGCTGCGCGGTGCGAGGGACGCGTGCCTCGGGACGGCAGGGGAGGGGCAGCCCGAGCCGGAGCCCGTGGCCTTGGAGCAGCGGGTGCGGCCTCTGGGGCAGTGCACAGTCCCCCAGGGCCTGGGGCAGCGGTCGCCTCAGGTGTCCCCAGGCGGTCGGTAGGCAGCCCGGGCCAGCTGGGACTTGTCCTGCGGGAGAGTCACTGTCAGGCTGCTGGACATGACGTGCCAGAGGCGGGATGGCCCTGCCGCCCCACATGGTCTCGGTCCTAGGTGTGTCGCGGGAGCCCGTCTGGCCCCAGCTCTTCCCACGTGCGTGTCATTTGTGAATCACTGTTGGCCCTTCACTCGCAAGAGGCTCGCTCCCGTGCGGGATGCATGCTGGTGGCCTGGCCTGGCTGTCCCTGGCCTGGGACTTAGCTGCGCTGCGTCGGGCAGGCTGAGTGTGGCGTTGGAGCCGCTTTCTCTTCGTACCCCCAGCCTCTGTTCCTGCAGCTGTACACCCAGGCCGGAGGGAGGGCCTTCTTGTAGGCTCAGGGTCCCCAGGCAGGGTTTGCTCCCACCGCGCCATAGAAGGGGTCTCTCCATTTGCTTCTAGAATCTTCCGCAGGAGAGGCCACTCTTGTGTGCTACACCCAGCAACTCTTGACGGCAGTACGGAACTTTCTCACGGGGGGCTCGTGGCCACGTGCTGGAGGCCTGGGATGTTCCTGGGCCTCACGGCCTATGTCCCTCGCTCACACTGGGTGTGGGTGCTGTGCCCTCCACACAGTTCTGCCCCTTTTTCTGACGGTGCCTCAAGTGACACTGTAGGTTTGCGAGCTTCCGGGCAGGTAGTAAGACCCCATCAAGTGGCTCCTAGAGTGACTGCGGGCGAGGCACACCTCGTGACCATTTGGATTCGTCTTGCTCTTAGCGGACGTGTCTGGTGTGCCAAAAGGACAGGGTTAAGGTGTGCTTCGTGCCGCCAGGCCCTGCTGGCCTTGAGGCTGAGGGACTGGCCCCAGGGAGGTGGGAGCAGTGCGTACCCCGGCCTCCTGGTGACTCGTGCGCTGTTCCTGCCTTCGTAGCTGCGTGTTCGAGCCGGAAGGAAACGCCTGCAGCCTGACTGACAGCACCGCGGAGGAGCATGTGCTGGCCTTGGCGGAACATGCGGCCGACGAGGCTCGGGACAGGGTCAGCCGGCTCCTCCCAGGGGGCAAGGTAGCGGCAGGAGGGCCGGGTGGGGCTGCGTCCTGCTGATGTGGCAGGCGTTACAGGGTCGTGTTGGCTCCAGGCCCTGGCTTCATCTCCTCGGGGGAGGGGGCCTCCAGGGGCACCTCAAAGGCAGGAGCCTCCCAGAAGCCGTGTTTCGTGTGTGGACACCCGTGGATGGCCTCACCCTTTGGAGGGATGGTCGCCGCTGGTGGAGGCTGGGCCCGCCAGGCCTCTGCGCTGCAGCAGGGACCTTCTCCCAGTTGCTCCCGTCGCTGCAGTGCCCAGGGGTTCCGTGTGCCCCAGGCCTGGGCCGTGGGAGCCATCCCAGCAGCTGTTGGGCCTCAGGGCGGGGTCCCACCGTCCTCTGAGCACCCTCTGCTGCAGCAACAGACCCGCAGGCCCAGTAGAGACGGCGACGGTGCTGCGTGAAGTTTCAGACCGGGTAGTTGTGACACCAAGGCCAGAGGGGACGTTAATCCTGGTGCCTCTTGCTTGAGCTGGCACGTCCAGTCTTATGTCAGCACGTGTCATGTGTGAGATCCGTTAGGGGCACGTCCTTTTTCCCACGCAGAGTTTTTAAAACGCACGTTGAGTGGTACACAAAGAACTCGGAGCGCTGACGTTACGTACGACTGTTGAGGTCGGTTTTTCTGTACTGCCTTTAAGCCTTTCTGGTGCGGAGGTTGGAGTTCTGTGTGTAGCTCAGGATGCTGTGCTGCTGGGCCCGCCGGTCTGCACCCCTGTAGTGCCCAGCCCTGGGGTCTCTAGGGAGCCCTGGGCACCGGGTGGGGCCCTCTGTGGGGTCGGGAAGACCCCGTGCTGATCTGTGTGTACTGGCCAGAAGCGTGTGTCCACACCCACACCGCCAGTGCCCCTGGCACTGCGTCCACCTCGCTCTTCTCCCTTTCACTGTTGGAACAGCACAGCGAGAAACCTGGCCAGTCCCGCCTCCCTTCCCCTCCCGGCCCTGCGCTCACGCCAGCCGAAGGCTGCCCTCCCCTCGTTCCCCACACGGACGCGCAGGGCCTCTTCCTGCACCTCCCCGGGTGCCTGCGGAGGAGAAGTGCTCTTGCTCGGTGCACGGTCTCGAAGTGGAACTGAGCCCCTCGTGGTTTAGAGAGCCTCCAGGCTGTGCCCTGACATGGCCCTCGGCGACCCGGGTGACCAGGGTCTCGTTCCCGCTCCTCTGGTTCCGGTTGTGATGTCCCGTAAAGCACTTGTCTCCGGGTCCAGCCTCCGGTTGCAGAGGCGCCTTTAGAAGGGTCCCAGGACGCCTGAGTTCATCCTGCACACGGGTCGGGTCTGACAGGACGTCCGGGCAGGAGGAGAAGGGCCTCTGGAGCCTTTCCGCGGGGAGGCCAGGATCTTCGCGGCCTTCGGGCATCCTCCCGGTTGGGTCGGGCCGGAGGGCCTTCATTTGGTTGGGGTTTTCGTGGCAGCCACAGCCGCGGGCTGCTGCTGGGGCAGCGCTCAGCTGCGCTTTCTTGCAGATGGGCTACCTGAGGAAGAACGGGGACGGTGGCCTGCTCTACAGCGTGGTCAACACGGCCGAGCCGGACGCCGACGGTGCGTGGCCCCTGCGCGGCTGGGCGTCTCCGAGCTGCGCGCTGCTCTTGGTCTCTGCACCGCTGGGGGTTTTAGAGCCTCGTGGCCTGAGCGTCTTCCTGGCAGAGTGTGGCCCCGTCTGGTTTCATGCTCCTGTTCATGCCCCTTGACGCGGCCTGTGCGTGGTAGATGGACAGCAGGCCGTCGTCCATGGGGGCAGATGTCCTGGTCGGAGCTCTTCTGCCCGGCCGTCCCCGGCATGAGGGAGCTCTAGAAGGAATAGCCCGTGCGGTAATCGTGTTAAGGCAGACCTTGAAGGAGACACAGGTGGACCCGTGCAGCGGTGCGGTGCTCTCTCTGCTGTGCAAGCAGCGCTGACACACTCCTCCGGCTCAGGAAAGTGCCTCGAAGGCTTGTGCTTTGAGTTAAAGCCAAGCTCACTTGCACAGGGACACGTTTTTCACACACAGAGGAGAATGAAATACTCTCCATTGTTCCCAGCCTCCTGGGGGTGGGACCTCTCCCCCGACCTGGGGCCCCTGGTGGCGTCCTTTCGTGCGGCGCTGGGGAGGCCCGTTCGCTTAGCCTTCTCCGACGGGTACCCCGTGTGCCCGCTGGCCACCTGCCGCCTCTGGTGACACGAGTGCCTTTGTTCTTTGTAAGAGGACAGACGGGCTGGTCACTCCTAGCGTAGAGAGAGGAAGTGAAGGTTTGAGACTTGTAGTGGCTTCTGTAATTTTGATTTTAGCGGGTCTTTGTGGAGATTCCCCGTGCTCCCTGTCACGTGCCCTCGTGTGGCACTTCGGGGGCCGGGAGCTGCCCCGAGCTGCCTGTTCACAGCCTGGTCCCCTTTGCAGAGGAGGAGACCCACCCCGTGGACCTGAGCTCGCTCTCCAGCAAGCTGCTCCCCGGCTTTACCACGCTGGGCTTCAAAGACGAGAGAAGGGGCAAAGGTGAGTGCGGTGGGCAGGTAGGGGTGGGGTGTGCGCCTGGAGTCCTCCCCCGAGACCTTCCCCCTCCGCTGTGCTTAGGGCCGCGCACCGGCTCTGAAGGAGCAGCGAAGCGCAGGTCACCTGCAGGGAGGGGAGAGGAAGCGAGCGGGGGCTGCCGTGCTGGCACCGGGGAGGGGCACGCGGGGGCGCATAGGCAGTGACGGTGGGCATGGGGGGGCGCAGTTGGGGAGGGACACGGCACTGGCGTGCAGGCGTCTGCCTCTGTCTGGTTGGGGTGTGTCGGGACAAGCAGCCATTTCGTTCCCGGGGGACAGCTGGCCGTGTCCGGGGTGTTTCCTGGTCATGCTGTGGTCCTCCTGGCCCTGAGGGGGAGAGGCCAGGAGTGCTCCCCCACAGCACCCTTCTCGAGCCCTGACTTCACGTGCGGGTGCCAGTGATGCCTCCCTCAGGGCACGTGGACCTTCTGACCCCCTTGACGTGCCCTCGGTGGGTGCCTGCGTCCCTCTGCAGGCTCCATCCCCAGCGCTGTCTGCGGTGGCACGGGAGCCTGGTGCCCACGCCCCTGCAGAGCGCAGACGGCTTCCTGCGCTGTGACGTGAGGGTGTGGCAGGGCTTGGCAGCCGCGCACAGGAGGCAGCACGGGACGGCAGGGCAGGGGGTGCGCAGCCTCGGGGCGCCTCTCATGCGGGGGCATCTCACGTCCTGTGCTCTCCCTCTTGTGCTCTCAGTGACGTTTTTGTCCAGTGCCACCACCGCACTGTCGACGCACAACTCAGTATTCGGAGACTTGAAATCGGATGAAACCGAGCTGCTTTACTCTGCCTATGGAGACGAGACGGGCGTGCAGTGTGCGCTGAGGTGAGCAGGGCTGGCGTGGCGGGGGCGGCCCCCAGTGCCAGGCAGGCAGTCTCTCTGCGCATGGGGGGGTCACGGCCGCCAGCAGCAGGTCCGAGCAGCCGAGCTCTCCGAGCGGTCTCCCACACACCTCGGGGCCGTGGCAGGCTGACCCTGAAACTCAGGTGACGGCTGGCACCGGAAGCTGGTGACGACTGGGGCTGTAGCGTAGAGGAGGACGAGAGTCCGCGTGACCTGTGTGTGCACGTCACGTGGAATTCGTGACTTTGTTATGACGGAGCTACGTGCTGCGTGGGTCTGCTTGGGCCACCGGAACAAAGCCCCGCGGGCCTGATGGCTGGAGGGCCAGGCACTACCGTGCGGTGGCCCTGGGCGCTGGCGATCTGAGAGCCAAGCGCGGGCAGACTGGGTTCTCCTAAGGCCTGTCCTTGGTGTGTGGACGCCATGGTTTCCTGAGTCCTCATGTGGCCATCCTTCTGGGTGAGTCTGTGTCCTGCTGTCCGCTTCCTTTAAAGACGCCAGTCAGGACGGGTCAGGGCTCTCCTTGAAGACCTCACTCTGACTTATCACCCCCTCAAGGCGCTGGGTCTGGACACAGTCACGTTCTGAGGTTCTGGGGCCGGAGTCCAGCGTAAGGAGAATGGGCCACAGTCGGTCCCTCACAGTGGCTGAGACGTGCTTTTCAGACCGGAGACACAGGACTGTGTTTGTAGGACCCTTCTCGTGTGTACTGGCTGCTCTGCGTGCCGGGGGGAAGTGGGTTACGCTTCCAGAATTTTTGTGATTGTGCAGGAGGAAAGTAAAGTTTTGCCGACCTCTAAGAGATGGACTTTTTCCGTGTTAGGTTTTTGTCTGATCTGAAACAGTACAGAGTCTGTTTTGAAAATCGTTGGTCCTTACCACAGGGAGTGCCTGACCAGGTGTTTGTGAGATCAGAGTAGAAGTGGAAAACGCAGGAGGGCATGTGTTGTAGTCGAGGACAGCGTCCTGAGTGGTGGTGCTCTCCTTCACGCCACTGCCCTGTCACAGCCCTCTGGGGACAATAGCCGCCTTCCGTTCGGGTGGCCCAGGGTGCCCAGACCGTGGTGGCCTTCTGCAGCGCCTGCTCCCGGAACACATCTGGACTCTGGGTGCCGGATGGCGACGGACACTGTCATGTGGGCAGTGCGGGGAGGCGGGCAGACCACACTCCTGCTGGCGTCCCATGTCACCTCCCCGTGGGCGCTGTTCCCGGGCACGTGCAGACCATGCCTGAGGGTTCCAGCTGCGTCCTGTCCCTGCACACCTCGGCTCAATGGCTCCTTCTCAAACGCTGCTGGTGGAGACTCGGGCGGCGTGACGCTCAGGCATTGGGAGCCCTGCGGAGCCTTTGCCCAGGCTTGGGTGCTAGGACCTCGGCATTTGTTCTCTGCCTCCTTTTGAAACATTTAGGTTTTATTTACTTATTTTCTTCAGCATTCACATGACCGAAACATCGAAACGAGCTCCAGGCCGTACGAGCAGGGACCTGCTCCCACGCCTGTCCTCCTTCCCCTCTGCGAGCACCTCTCCTCCATCGACTGAGGTTTTTAAATCCAAACAAAAAAAAAGAGATAGTTATGCTCCTTCCAGGAAATGGCGCAAGACACCTGTTGACCCTCGAGCGGCTCTCAGGGGTGCGCGTCTGCTTCCGTGCGGGGCGTTTCCTCTGGTCACCCTGCTGCGGCTCCGTAAGCCGCTTTCCCTCTCGTCCTGCTCTCCAGCCCTCGGCTTCGTTGTGGGAGCGCGGGCGCGGCGCACAGGAGGCCGGAGTCCGGGTCCGTCTGTGTCTGCGTCCGCAGTCGGCGCTCCGGGTAACCCGGGGCTCGGGAGTTACTGCGCGGAGTTCAGCTGTGGGGCCCGCGCCCCGTGCCCCACGCGGTTAAGGGTCCGCCGGATGCGTGTACACAGTTGTTCGCGGTGTTCAGAAATAATCTTCTTTTGAGATGCTTTTAACCTTTTTGGGTCATGGGCCACGTTAAAGGTCTGATGAAGACTCCCCGACCCCTCCCCGAAACTGTGTCCGGGAGGTGTGCCGCTCCCGGTCAGGCTCGCCGCGGGGCCGCGTCTGAGGGCTGGGCTGCCCGGGCAGGCGCTGGGCCCAGGACCACCGACGCCGGTGAGAGGAGCGGGAGGCTGCAGCACGTAGCGCCCGTTTGACGGTGTCCCCTCCCGGCCCTTCCAGCCTGCAGGAGTTTGTGAAGGACGCTGGGAGCTACAGCAGGAAACTGGTGGACGACCTGCTGGACCAGATCACCGGTGGGGACCACTCGCGACTGCTCTTCCAGCTGAGGCAGGTGGGTGCGCCGCGCCGGCCCCCATGCTGGGCACGCACGTGCCCTCGGCGCTCATCCTTGGCGCCGCTGCCGTCGCAGGATCCCGTCTGGACTGACGCCATCCTGCCCTTGCTCGTTCTTTATTTTCATGGTTTTTGCTGTAAGCACTTAACTTTCTTTCAGAAAAACTTGAAAACAAAAAAAGTTGTTTCTGTCGACCGCGCGTTCGCGGTTTCTGGAAGCCGTGAGAACTTCACATATGCCTGAGTTGTGTCCGTCTGCTGTCATTTTCCTTCGTTCTAAGAACCTCCTTTAGCAACGTGTCTTCTGCTATAGACGTGGCTGACGGTGAATTCACTCAGCTTCTTGTTATCCGGAAAGCGTCTTTACTTCTCCTATATCTTTGGAGTCCGTCTTCCCTGGGCCTGGCATCACAGGGGCGTCTTCCCGGCCACTTGGGAAGGTGCCTGAGCGCAGTGTCTGAAGTGTCTGTGGCCTTTTCATCTGCTCTCCGCTTGTCCCCCGTCCTCTGGGCCCATCGGGGATCGGCAGACCTGGGCCCGTGAGCTTCGCGTGTTCTACTTTCCTTAAAGGCTGTAAACAAAAGAGGGATGTGCTACAGACCTTACGTGGCCCGCGAGGCCCCGTGTGTTTGCTCTTCGGGCCTCTGGGGGAAGTTGACGGACCCGTCGTGGATGCTTCTCGACTGGAGCCGTGGAGCGCCGTGCGGCGGCTCGTGGCTCCTGCCGTTCTGTGCGCCCCGCCACCGGCTGCCCAGCTTTTCGCGCCCGTCTGCGTGCGGTTTCCGTCAGATCGGGAGGCGTGTGTCCGTTATTTCCTCAAACGCCGTTTCTGCCCACAGCCCATGTCCGTCACCTGTCCAGCACGTCCGCACAGGTGCTAGCGGTCCTGCCCCATTCTGCGTCTGAGCGCTCTGTTCCTTGTCACTCTTCTCCCTCCTTTGGAGTCAGGTTCCGGAGCCGTGGTTCCAGTCACGTGACGTGGTGAGGGCCACGTCCACACCTCCTGTTGCCCCGGAACCTCTCATCCGGGGCCGCGTTCGTCTTCGCTCCGCCTGGGGCTTTCTTGCGTCCGCGCTTGGCTCTGTGCTCCTGATCTCCTCTCGGTCTTCGGACCAATTTCTCATGCTTCCCACGGCGGCCTCTCAGGTCGTGCGCTCTCCCCTCTGTCACTTCTGCCTGCGCGGCAGCAGGTTTCCCTCTGCTTGCAGGCGGCGGTCGGGTCCCGGGGGCCGCGCTGTTGGACGTGCGGTGCGGGCTGTGCCGACCGAGCAGCCGGCAGCCACGAGCGGCTGGTGCGTGCCTTACTGCGGCTCATTGGAACGCGGATGTGCCGGGGACGTGAGCCACGGGCAGAACTGTAGCGGCCGGAACAGAAGATGAAACGCGGAAGTACTTCTTCGGTTTATTCGGATCGTACGTCAAAGTAAAAACTGTTTTAGTCCGAGACACGTACCGTTGTCGTGCGCGGACATTGACTTCCGTTGGCCGCAGAGAGTTAAACTTCGGCCTGTGACCACGTCCTGTTGCCGCTGGGCAAGGCTGGTGCTGGCTTTGTCGTGGTCCGTTATAGACCATCGGTGCTCGTTTTGGCGGAGTCCTTGTGAGTCACCTCATCTCTTGGGGTTTGTTTTTAAGCTTTGTCAGGGCGGGTTTCGGTGGCCTTGAAGTTGGGTGAGTTTGGCCCTGATGCTAAGGAATGGCCCTTCTGGGGTCTCCCCCAGCTTCAGTGAGGGCTTTGCTCTGGTGGGTGGAGTTGCGCCGTGCGTCCCCACGCGTGCCCGGCCCCACGGGGACCCGTCTGCGTGTGCACAGGTTAGGGTCCGTTGGGTTTATCCCCCCCCCGGATTTGTGGAGCTCCAGCTGGGAGCAGTGTCCTCCGTCCAGACTCGGCCCCGCCGGCCCGTGAATGCTCGCTGTTCTCCGCGGTGTGGCCCCAGTGCTCGGGGGCTGTCCTGCACTGCGGTCTGGAAGCTGGTCCCGGGGCTGGCCCTGGGCACGGTGTCTGAGCTGTCTTTGTGCTCTGTGCTGCTTGGAGCGGGACACTCGGATAGTGGCGATACTTACTGTCCTGCTGAAGTCAGAAACAGCGCCGGGCCGGCTTCCAAAGCATCGGCACGAAGCAGAGGTCTCAGATGCGCAGGTCTGCCCGCCGAACGCTTTCGTAGCCGGCGCACGCAGCCAGGCCGTTCAGAAGGTGATGTTCCTGCCAGATTGTAGGACAGTGAGGTTGGGCTTGTGCTTGCCACACAGGGTCACATGTGGCCGGGTGTCCCCCACAGATTGTGGCCCCATGGTTGTGGCCCCAGGTGACTTTGGGTCCCGCTCGGGCTGTGGTCACACAGTTGGGTTCCAGCGTCAGCCTTCGGTGTTGTGCACCTGAGGAGAAGGGTGCGCGGCCCCGTAGCCCGGCCGTCGGGGGTGGTACTGCTCAGACGCCAGGCCTGCCGTGTCTCCCGTGTTGTCCCGGAGACACAGGGCACGGTGTTGGATTTGACTATTGGAAGCTGTCCGGCGCCGCAGGAGCAGGTGGGCTGCGCTCTCCCTTGCTCTCCATCTGTGCAGGGTATGCCCGGGGCCCTCAGCCCACCGGGGGTCTCAGCGGGGGTTGTGGGCATCGGCCCCCCACGGTGCACGTTGGCTGCCTCGCTCCGTCTCTGCTCCATGGACGCGGGCGCGGCCCAGCTCCGATTCGCGGCACGGCGGGAGCGTCACAGGGACATCCCCAGCAGCAGCGAATAAACTGTAGTTCACTTGTGTGTACCTGACACAGATGCGTTGTTCTTTATAAAACGTTTTGGAAAAACTGACTTCTAACCTGTCTTGATTTACAGAGGCGGAATGTTCCGGCGAAGCCTCCGGACGACGTGAAGGTGGGTTGTACGGACAGGTGAGTGAGAACCCAAGCGTGAGCGTCTCTGGGCAGCGGTCACGTTCAGCCCCTGACACGGGGGCAGCTGAGAAGAGGGGCGTGCGGCGTTTCCTGAGAAACTCATTAGGTGGTGGTCTGCTCTGCCCTCGGTTCTTAGTGGCTCGGGGGACAGGTGGAAAGCCGCAGCACTTCTCCAGGCCACGCACGGTCGCCGCGGAGCTGTGGCCGCGCTGGGGGCTCTGTCTCCACCGGGGCCTGTCGCGCGGGCAGCAGGCTTCGTTTCCGGTGCGGCGGGTCCTGGGGGCCGTCAGCCGCGTGCCTGTGCTCCGCACACCCGGCAGTGAGGCCAGCCTGGCGGATGCGCGTCCTCAGGGCGCCCCCAGGACTCAGGGATCTGAGGGAACTTCATTGTGGTCCGGCCTCAGTTTCCCCATTTTGCCTCTCCTTTGGGAGGGACTGGGAGCGAGCCTGTTGACAGCGGGCTCTGAACGCAGCCCCCGTGTCAGAGCTGGCGCGCCGGGCCTCTGGACGGGCTGTGGGGCCTGGGTCACAGAGGCTCTCTGGCCTGGGGGACGGAGGGTGTGCTCTTGGGAGGTGTGGCAGGTGCCCAGAGGCAGGGCTCATTGAGTGACTGGGCGGCGAGGGCGGCGTGCTGTCTCCCCTGCGGGTGCATCCCTCAGTGTGGCCATACCTGAGGGCAGCAGAGCTCCCCGCTCAGGGTCTGTGGGTCAGGCGGACGTGCCGCAGCTGGGAGCCCGGGTCACGTGTGGTGTCTGTGCTCTAGGCCATCTTGAGCCGGGAGCCCAGCGCTCCCTCCCTCTGTCGTCCCAGTGGCGCCTCCGCGCACGCAACCCCGGGAGCATTCAGCAGGGGCCTCCCGCCCCCGAGGCTGTCCCTTGTGCCGGGAGCTCCAAGCCCCGGTCCCCCCCACCGCCAAGCCTCAGGTAGCGGCCTGCTGCTGGGCGGCTCTCCCGGTGGCGGGCGGCCTCCGCCTCATCTCCCTGCGCTCCCCCGGCGCCCGCAGCCCTCACGGCACCTGCGGCGGCGCTGCCATCCCCGCGGGGCCCCGGCCGGCTCTGCAAGCGCACACGCGTGCTGCTCTCCGCTTACAGCTGTGCACGGAGACCGATTCCGGCACCCTCGTCCTTCCCGACGCCGCCTCGGAGCGCAGACCTCCGCGCGTAGCAAGGACGCAGAGCCGGCGGATGGGGAGCTGGGCCCCGGGTATCTCCTGCGGGGCGGCCGCGGGCCTCCGGCCTCCGGCATGCCTCTTGGGCTGTGTGGTTTCTAGAGAAATGAGTTGTGAGCAAACCGGCTGTTTTCAGGTGGTTTTTGAAAGTTCCAAGTTGCCTTTTGTTTTAGGGTCATCAGGTCAACCTGTGATAACCTTGAAAGTCGTAGCTGTGGGGTGGTTGTCCCCCAAGGGCCGTGTGCTGGGCCCTGAGCAGGAGGGCAAACAGCGCCAAGCCCCCGTGTGTGCTTGCCGAGCGGGGTGGTATCGGTGGGACGGTGGCGGGACGGTAGTGCTCACCGCTGGTGTCTGGCCGCCGCCATGCTCTGTGTCGGTGCCCGGAGTCGTCACTGTAACGCTTCCGGGTGAGAGAAGTTAGCGTCAGAGCTCAGAGGGAGGGGCTCTCGTGAAAGTCAGGAGAAAGCAGCAAATTACCGGGTCACCTGGCCCAGACAGCCCAGCAGAAGGGGGGCTCATGCCCAGAGAAGGCAGTCTGATGGGAGAGGGCTCACACCAGCCCCAGACAGTCTGGTGGGAGAGGGCTCACAGGTCTGGTGACCCCTTCCTTGCTCAGTAGCAGGAGCCGCAGCTTCCTCCTTCCCCGTGTCCCGGTGAGGCTCTGGGTGGAGGTGGACACCTGTCCCTGCTGTCCAGGCTTGTGGGGACCCCGTGTGAGCCTTCAAGTTCTGGGGAGTGGAGGGGGAGTGGGGGGCGTGGGAAATGGGCCGGCACGAGCCAGGCCCACAGATGTCTGCCTCTGCCGTGATGCGGGCTTCCCGCTCCGTAACCGCGTGGTGAAGAAACTGTCCCCCCGGCTGTGGCGGGCAGCGTGCTGTCGCTGCACAGTAACTCCGGCAGTGACAGGATCCGGCGCCAAGGTCAGAGTGTGACTTGGCAGGCGGCAGTGAGATGTGTTCATTTAAAAGCAGCCGCGTAGTGGCTGTCACGTCCTCGCTTCTTGACAGCAGACGGGCACGGGCGGTCTGCGCGCGCTGGGGAGTGGGTCTCGGGCAGCACGCGCTGTTTCTGTGATGGTGCAGAGCAGGGACTCGACACAGGACAGGGTCGGGAGGGCCTGGGACGGCCGCAGGAGGACAAAGGACATGCTGGCTGGGCGGCCGCCGTGCCGTCAGGTGCGGTTCCAAGAAGTAGCCGGGGGCACCTCCCTGTCGTAGGGGCCTGCCACACGGTCCCTCAGTGGCACCCAGTCCTGAGCTCACCCCCAGTGGTCTTGGGCTGCAGTGTGGGCTGGACAGCGTGGTCTGGGTGGCCTCCTGGCGTGGACGCGGCAGAGCAGGCCTGTCCCACCCTGGGCTGCAGATGTGGGAGCTCCAGGCGCTCCCGCGGGCTCCGTGGCTGCTGTTAACTCCTGCTCGGTGACGTTTCTCCTCTTCTGCTTGGTTCACTGTCTCCCGCAGGCTGGGGACTCGCTGGGTGACGGCGGCTCCGTCCTGGACTTCATGTCGATGAAGTCCTACTCGGACGCCTCTCTGGACATCTCCGCGCTCGGCTCCCTGGGTACGTTGCGTTGGGCGTGCTCACGTCGTCGGGTGGGCGGAAGCGCACCCTGTGGTGTTGTCCCTGGTGCTACCCTGGTCTGCAGGGTGGTCCCCGGGGGCACGGGGCTGATGCCCTTGCTTCCAGGAGCCTGGCCGCCGTCCTCGGGACGTCCCCCTCCCCGCAGACCAGAGCTCAGCCGTCAGTGCGGTGTTGGCTCGCACGCCTTGGAGTGTGCGGGGTCTCGTCTGACAGCCCGTGTGCAGCATGGAGCCGTGGGACCCTGTCCGTGTTTTGCTTGAGTGTTCTTAGGTTGGTCCCGAGCCACGTTCAGCGCGGGGGGCATGGCCTCCCCACGGGCCGCAGCTTCCTGCAGACTTAGCCCGCGGATGGTTACGGACCTGTGGGAACTCCCGGGCCAGGTTGTGCCCCACTGTCTACGCACAGGTGTCCATCTCGGCCTGGACCCGGGAGCTCGCCAGGCAGCCCATCTTCACCAGCTCTCAGCCTGCCACAGCCCGGTCCCTGCTGGCTCTGGCCCGTGCCCTGTCCCGGCCTCGAGCACACACTGTCCTGCCTCTGCTTGTTTACACCGGTGGGACGACAGCTCTTTGGAGTCTTGTCCACTCCGGGCGTCGTGCCCTGTCCTCCGAGCTTCCTTGTGTTCCCCATCGTTGCGCATGTCGTCTCTCCTCCTGCGTGTGCGGAGCAGTGAGGGAGAGACTGGGCCGGCGTGCAGCGCTGGCCGGGCCGCTGGGTGCCTGATGTCCGTTTGCCTGTTTGCACAGGGAAGGTGAAGAAGGAGCTGGACGCCGATGACAGCCACCTGAACTTGGACGAGACAGCGAAGCTTCTGCAGGATCTGCACGAGGCACAGGCAGAGCGCGGGGGCTCCCGGCCGTCCTCCAACCTCAGCTCCCTGTCCAACACCTCCCCCTCCGACAGGGACCAGCACCACCTGGGTAAGGTGGCCCCAGGCCCCAGCATCCGGCGGCACCTGGGAGAAGGGCAGGCCGCCGGCAATCCGGGCACTTCAGAGCTGCGTGTCCAGCCCCCAGGACTCTGTGGGCCCTGCTCCCTCGCCAGGCGGCTGCATGGGGGTCACTCTGTTAGGCGTTGCAGGTCTTAGTCATAAGATGCTGGCCGTCCCCGTGTCAGGAGCCGCCCCAGCTGGCCACATCCCAAGGCCCTTGGGGCAGAATGAGGGCCCAGATGCTTGAATTCAAGTTTGGAGATGTTTGTTTTTTTCCTGCTGTTCCCGTTTTTAGTCCTAAAATGGGGTGTTGAAAAGTGTTTTGTTCTTCTAGGACCCTGATTTGGGGAGAGCAGGTGACCTTCCCTGGCCTGGGGCTCTCTCTCTTCCATGGGTGACAGGGTGGTCGGTGCACGGACCCTGCGGGACTTCGGCCCCTCCAGGAAGGGGACCAGGTGTTGCTCCCTGACATTTTGAATTTGCTCAGTGAGCAGCCTGTGCTACGGCTCCGGTTTTCTGATTCTGGCACTGACTGTGCAGAGCCCCTCTTGACTTTGGGCGGTTAGGGGGTGCTTGTCAGCTACAGATGTAGCTGACAGGCCGGGGAGGTGAGGGGGTGGCCCGGACCCTGGGAGGAGGCAGCTCGGGCTGACCGCAGTAGCGAGGACACGTTTTCAGCCGCGTCTGAAGCATGCGTGCGGACCCCTCGTGAGCCCCGTCTTTCCCACACTTGCAGGAAGCCCTTCTCGCCTCAGTGTCGGGGAGCAGCCGGAGGTGACCCACGACCCATACGAATTCCTTCAGTCTCCAGAAGCTGCGGCTTCCGCGAAGAGCTAGCCTTGTGGATAGTCTTCCGTTTTTTAAATTTTTTTATTTGCATGTAACTGAGTTTTTGTCTTGAGACAAAGACTTTGATTTTGTCCCTTTTGGCATGTGGGGGGTCATCTCTGGTATCATGTCGGCCGCGCACGGACCCAGTGTGTCTGCATCGCCCCGGGAGTCCTGAACAGTGGAGGTCACACAGTGCGTGGCCAGGTGGGGCCGAGCCCGTGTGTGCCCGAGCTTTGAGCTGTTGGTCCGCCCATGGGGCACTGTCTGCCCCAGCGCCCTTCCCAGAAGCCCCTTGGGAAGCAGACGTGCCTGTGGCAGGGTTCCTGCGTGTTCTCTGCCCCGCCCCCCACACCGCTGCGTCTCCGAAGGAGGTCATGGAGGGCAGCGCCCTCCTGGCCTGGGACAGGCCCCGCGCTGCTGGTTCCTGTGCTGGGCAAGGCCTGCCTTCTGCTGGAGGGCCACACGGCCACGGGCTGTGTCGGAGACCTTTTTATTCCGGTTGTGTTTACTGGATGCGTGTTTACATTTGCAGAACACAGAGAACTCAATAAAGGACTGAGGGTTTGCGTGTACTTGCCAGTAGCGCCCTGAGTATCGTCTCTGGGTGGCCTTGTAGCGAAGCCTTTGTCACAAGAGTCCGACCGTGTCTGTTTGTGATGCTGACGTCCCCCCTTTCCTCTGTGTCTGGCCCGGGCCTGCCCCCGCAACGTCTCGCCTCACCCACCCGCATTACTTCTGCTTGTGTCCCTTTTTTGAAAACCAGACTGGGGGCTCTGTTCCGTCCTGGGGCGGAGTCCGTCCTGGGAGAGAGGGTGTGTGTGTGCCTGAGACGTGCCCCAGCCCACGGCACCACTGCCTGCTGGGTGAGCAGGGCCCCTCGTGGCCGTCGGTGGGAGGGAGCACAGCGTCACACAAGCCAGTGTCAGGCAGCAGCCGTGGCAGGGCTGGCCGAGGAGTGAGGGGGGACGGAGCCTACACCCCTGCAGGCTGCAGGCCTGCCATCAGCGCCCCAGCTGCCAGGACGCCAGGAGGGGGATCTCTCTTCCCCACCTTGGGGTGGACTCCTAAGGTGAGGTTGTGGGCAGGGCGTGGCCCCGATTTCTGGGGCTGGACTTGCCCTGCTGAACCCCTGCCTCTCCGTGGCCCTCCGCTGCGGTTCCCGACCATGCCTCCGACGTGGACACGGCACCTGTTTGCAGGACCTGCTGAGACAGGAGGAGGCCCAGAGCCCCAGACCCACCCGAAGGGAGAGCTCTCTGCCTCGAGGGCCTCAGCAGTTGTGCCCGCAGCCGGAGACGCCGCTGCCTCCTGCCCGCAGGCCAGAGCCGCAGACGGGCAGTTGGGCCTGGAAGGCTGGGGACGCTTGCACCCTGGGCACGGCCTCCTGAGAGCCAGCGGCTGCTGCTCAGAAGACACGAGCCCGTGGGAGGGAGGACCAGGGCGGCGTCTCAGGACAGGAGGGCCCTCTGGCCGAGGATCTCAGGAAACTTCACGAGACGTAAAATTAGCCACCGGCCGCCTTCAGGTGTGCACCCGCGTGGTTTGGTGCCCTGGTGGTGTTGGCAGCTTCTGTTAACTGGGGAGTGTTTCTGCCGGCCTGAAAGCAAAGCCCGTCCCCGAGAGCAGCCCCCAGCAGCCCCAGTAAACGCTGCACTTTGCTTTCCCGTGAACTTCCTGCCCGGAGCCCCTCGTGGTGGGCTCTCCCGCTCCGTGGCCGCCTCCCCGCAGCACAGCGGTTTTGAAGTTCTTCTATGCGGAGTGTGTCGTTATGGGCCCAGGGACCCCTGCCCTTGCCATGGACCCTGCCCGGGCTCAGGCTGCTGCTGGCTATGTCAGAGCCACCAAAGGGGTCCTGGGGCTTGGGTCCTGTCACTGAGCTCTCTGCTCCAGGAAGCCGGCGGGATCCCAGTCAGAACCACGGATGCGCACGGAGGTCAGAATACTGAGCAGATGCCCAGGGTAGCAGGAGCGTCCCCGAGAGCCACACTGGCCAGGCATTAGCCACAGATGGCACAGCAGGACCCCGGCCCCTCACCCACACTGTTGCCGCGCTGTGGGGAGGTGATCTCTGGGGTCGGCGCCATATGCTGGGGCTTGTCCTGCTCTTTCTCTGCTGAAAGCTGCACTCAAAGCAAGACCAGCGACGGGGGCAGTTTACGCACGTGTTGGGGTGTGTGCTCGTGCGGCGCATAGGTGCCTTTGTTCATGCACGCGGGTCCTCCTGTGAG